CGGCACTAGCGCGGGAGGCAGCGTTAAGATCGTAACAGATCTTAAGATGTCGTGGAGCGTGTGGGCAGTAGCACTTCTCGGCTTCCTTGCGGTGCTTTGAATGAGCTGGTGTCCCTGCGGGCAGGAGCTCCATTTTGGCCACCTTCCCCTGTACGTGCTGACATTTGTGCTTTTGACCCAACTGTTGCGTCCCTGTCCCCTTCTCGCCTCGGTGCCAGAATGAGATAGATGAGCTGAGGACGGAGATGGATGAGATGAGGGACAGTTTCTTCGAGGAGGACGCTTGTCAGCTTCAAGAAATGCGCCACGAACTGGAGCGAGCCAACAAGAACTGCCGGATCCTTCAGTGCAAGGCCGAGCGCAAGAGGCTCCGCTATGCCCAGACCGGCGAGATCGATGGCGAGCTCTTGCGCAGCATGGAGCAGGACCTCAAGGTACAGACGTGAGCAGGTGTCAAGGGGAGGGAGCACCTCAGACAGAGACATGAGCCTGCTCTTGGTCCTTATGACTCAGGCATTTCCATCCGTTCCGTCATACACTGTGCGCCCAATGCAGCTCATAGGATAGCTATGGCCAAGCTTGGTAGTGGAAGCCCTTCGGTACGTAGGTAGGCTACTTTCGACTTTATTCCCATCATTTTTTGTGAAGTTAACATGCAAGAAGTGACTCAAATACAGGATCTAGAGTTTTTGGATCTTTTATGATGAACACAAAACATACCTTATCACTGCAAAATTAAACCAACTTCACCAAATAGTTCTGGTGACTTTGAGGGGAATATTGTATTCTTTAGTAATGATTTCAGAGGACTGGTAGATTGAATACTTGCAGAGTCACAACATGAAATCCTGACTCTGCTGGTGTCAGTGGAAAAAATGCCATTCTCTTCAGCAAAGCCAGGATTTTCCACATCCACCTGGAGCCATAGACACAGCCCATCAAATTTCAATGTGTAATCAACTGTATTTCATCCATAATGCCTGAATGAACCACAGCCCATTGTTGAGGAAAAGTTTCAGTCCTCGTTTAAAGATTGACATTGATAAAATATCCATCATCTCCATTCTAGATTGGTCCAATTACAAAAAAAAACCTTTCTTCTGCTAGCTGGAAGTTGTTTACTTTCTGCTTCCATCCATTAGGTTTTGTTAAGGCTCTTACTGAATCAGGACTTACAAACTTTTTTTCAGTTGACTGGTCTCCCACCTTCGCACGGAAGCACAGACGTCTGTATAGAAAACATGAGCTTATTGACCACACTTCTGCCTAGGACTAGTTACCTATGGCTCGCTGGATTCTGTGGACTGGAGTTGAAAATGCTAATTTAATACATGATCAGAAACAAGGTCATTTTTAAACTTCTTTTGATAGGTATAATGGGTTGCAAGTCTGTTATTCCCAGGCTTGGTTTACAGACTTGGATCATCTTTTCTGAAAATTTTCCAGCTTTTTGTAATTTTTACTAAAATCTAGAAAGCAGTCCCAGACACATTCCAGTCATTTTCTCACTAATGCCATTTAAAATGGTAATATCCTTCTCTCTATTTGTATTTGATATTCCTTTTCTGTACATATTTAAAACTCACATTTTCTGTTGTGGCCTTGACAGTTCTATAAGTACAGCTGGCCATGTGGCTCTTGACAAAATAGTGTCTTCCTGGTCAGAAGCAAAATGATCCCTTTCTCAGGGACCAGATGGAACTGCTGATTGAAACAAGAGACATTTTGCACTTTCAGGATGATGCTTAGGTGAATAGTTGAGACACACACCTCTGCAGGCAGATTAGAGCATGAGCCTTCATGTCCCAAGTGAATATGGCGATTCCAGCTTCCAGAGTTGCTTTCTTTGTTGGCTCGATGCTACTTTGTATTAGCAAGTAATACCTGCGCAGAGCCTGGGAGGGAAATGGTGAGGGCACCTCTGGTGAGGTGCTCGCCTGCAATATAGGAGAGAGCAGCTAAGGCTTTATGTTGAGCTGGACAAAGGGCTGACTTTAATTAGGCTTTCTCCCCTGTCTTTCCCAATAACCATATTGGACTATTTGGAAAGGAACAGTGTTTTTGCAAAGTGTTCTCACAGATCATGAATGTGTTCTGCTTTGGAGTACAGATGAATGTCTAATGCCAAATTTCTGCCTAACTGAATTGTGGGTGCTGGCTAACCATAATTGTAACTCAAGTGCAGTTCTCTGTAGTGTTCCCAAGTCCTTTTCTGAAGAATTTCTACCCAAAATAACGTTGTCCATTTTGCATGGGTAATATATTAGGGGACTTAATCCTTCAGAGCTACAGTCTTGCATATAAGCTGTATTAAAATGCATCTTGCATAAGTGAGTTGGGACTCATATGATCTAGAATGCTCTGTCGGACTTCCCTGCATTAATTACTACTCCACAAAATTTTGTGTCAAAATATCACTACCAGTAATGATTTTGTTACTTGGTTGTATTTGTCAATCTAGGCTGTATCTATGGTCTGAAAACAGATTCTGGTAGGATGCTGCTAAAAACATCCCCCATGATTTTCCATTTACTTTGGTTGGGCAACCAGATGAGCAGTTTAATACCAAGTGTAGGAAAAGACATCAGGATAGAGCCCTGTGGTGTGATTCTCAGCTCATCCTGCAGTCTCTTTGGAGTATGGTTATAATTGAAATTCCCCTCCACTCTCTCTTTCTGTTGGGCATTATGTGTCTTGAGTGTGCGTGCAGTGGGGGAGGTTATTGAATGATCTTGTGCTACACTGCAGTGTTGTATCAGTAATTCACACACACTGGGTTTCTTGTCAAGGGAGGCTGAGTCACTAGCGGCTGCTGTTTTCTGATAGAACGGATTCTTCTAGACTGCTTGCTTGCAATTATTATTTTTTTCTTTAGAGTTTTAGTATGTCAAAGAGAGTTCTTAGACATACAAACATAGAGATCGTTCTAGTGAAAGCCGTAAAGGATAGCTCTCTGAGCTCCCCTGGCTAATGCTAAGAAGGATTAATTATACTTTCCAATGTTCTAAAAAAAGCAGGAAATCAGGCTTTTCAAACTGCATTGTCTAAATCATCATTATAACAATGATGAGTGTATATTTAAATATTTTTGGTGTACGATTATAGTTTCTGGTGGTTTCACAAAATACAATGCAAGTGGCTTGAATGGCAAAATTCTCATTACTTTACATGAAGAAGAGGAATTAGATCTTGACATGTGCCTTTTAACTCTATTCCTCTGAAAATACATTAAAAAAAAGAAAAAAGCAAAAACCATAGTGTTCATTTTCTTTTAAAATATTGGACATAATTTGGGTGAACACAAGGTCAGTAAAAATGTTGTTTGTTCATATTTTACGCTTTAAATTAACCAATAGTGGTAAATAGCAGATACTTAGATTAACTGTGCATGAAGGAGAAAGAAACTAGCAGGGTCGGAAAAAAGATATGTCAGTTTGTGGTCCTATATAAGGCACAGGTAGGGTGGGCCTGGAGAAGGTGAGCCCTGCTTTTAGCTGCTTCTGCATGTTGAGTGTTTGAAGGGCATATGCCGTAGTGCATTGAAAAACACAGGCTGGCAGTGGTTGAGAGAAAATAGATGCTGCACTCTCTCCCGGAATAATGAAGGTCCTGTTTTACTGTTCACATAACAGAACCTAAGAAGGAGTTGTGGTTTAGTGTCCAATGTGGTTTCCAGTGAAGTCCATAGGGATAATATACCATTTTTTTGGAAGAAATCAGCTTGAATTTGCAATAATTTAGAATTCTATCTGTAGATGTCCTTGTCTACATGTTTCCTTTCATACTGCTTCCATCAAAACATCCAGAATTAACCTGTAAATGGTTGCTTAGGCACTTAAATGCTGCAGCAGTAATTATTTTTTGTTAATCTTTCTTTTGAAATATCATTTCATTCAGGTTGCAAAAGATGTATCAGTGAGACTTCACCATGAGTTAGAAAACGTGGAAGAAAAACGTACTGTAACAGAAGATGAAAATGAAAAATTAAGACAGCAGCTTATAGAAGTGGAAATTGCCAAACAAGCACTACAGAATGAACTGGAAAAAATGAAAGAGGTTAGTGTTGCTATGTACTTCTTTGCAAAGTATTTGAAGTTCTCGAATTCTTATTGCTGAACTAACCGGTTTTCTTCCTACAACTTGTTTTGGGGGCACAAGATATGTCAGGCAAAAGTTGAAAGTTGCCAAGAGTGCTGAAGTGCAGCTTGGTGATTGGGAAGCTGAGAACAAACTAAAATGTTCAGTGTTTCCTAGGCGAAACGGAAACCAAAATGTGGCTTTGTTTTTCCTATAGAAGGAGGGAAATGTGGAACTGATGGTAACACGGTTCAGAGGCTTTGAGACATTGTACTTACGTTAAGATACATGCAGAAAGAGTGCTGAAGGGAGTCAGAAACACCTAACTTTGCAGATGATGTTCCCCCCAGGTTTTTACAAAGACCAGTATTTTTCCCTTGCTAACTACTACTGGGGGCTAGCAGGCACACTGAGGCTGGGGATCTAGCCACCTCCCCATCTTGTTCACTCATGCTCTTTTGGGAGTGTTGGAGAGTGAGAGACTTTACCTGGCCTTTCAGTCTAAGCAGAGTTTTACATTATATCTAATTCATCTTCAGAATTACTCCATTTGCCATTATATAGATGTAAGGTATTGTGCCATTAGGTAAGCAGAAAATTGTATTACAGCAGTAATAGCCTGGCCAACAGAGATAACAAAGCATGCAGTAAAAATAGAGAAACTATTTACTAAGAATGACTCCTCAGAACAGATTTTAGAAACAGCTTTCCAGTTCAGTGTTTAAAATTCCACAAATGCCACTGATTCT